AGTGAAAGAAAAGTCTCCACTGGCTACACACACAGGAGCTGAATATGGGGTGTTGGATACCCCTTGCTTTAAACGCTGTATGCCTGCGGGTGGTGTTTTAACACACCTCCTAATCTGCACAGTTGAATAATAATCGATCCTTTATTGTCCATGTGGGGAAATTCTTTTTACACCTCCCTCAACTTGCTCTTTGGGCACTTTTCCACCGCACAAAGTACGGTACTTTCGGCACTTTCGCTTTTCCATTGATTTCCGGTCGAGTACCAGTACCGAAAGTTCCAGTACCGAAAGTGCCAAACCAGCTGGGGTACTTCTTTGGCACTTCAGTACTTTGGGGTGGGACTTGCAAATGTATTTACAGTTGATTGGTTATGCAAATAGCCTGCCACTGAAACACAAAATACAACCGCCTTCTTTTGAAACACACAGCGAACAGCGAGAAACTAAATAAAAAGCAGTAGAAACAAAAATACTAAAAAGTAAAATGGAATGATGGACAAACGAGTAAACACAAGCTTTAATCGCCATATGGTCGGATGAACAGATCCAGCGGGACTTGGATGGCACGACTCGAAATAAAAAAGTATTTGCAGTAATACCAAGCCGCTTGGAAGAAATGGGGCACACGCGAAACACCGAACAATGCCGCTTGAAAATTAAAAAACTTACGCAGGACTACAGGAAAGTGAAGGATCATAATAACAGGAGTGGCGCTGACAGGAAAACCAACACATGGTTTGAGGCACTGGATGCTGTTTTGGGCCACAGGCCCACAAATATGTGCAGAAATAACATCGTGGACTCTGCCAAGTCTCCAGTGATTTGTGATGATGTCAGTCAGGGGTGGTCATTGATGATGTCATTTGGCGCTGGTACCAGTTTTTACGCCAGTGGAAAACTGACACAAAAGAAGTACAATACTTTTGGTACAGTACCTGGTGTGGTGGAAAAGTGCCATTTGTGGAGCAAACTATCCATGAAGGGCAGCCACCTGTTGGGGCACCCAGGGTTAAGGGCCTTGCTCAAGGACCAGCAGCCATGCTGAGGCTGGGTTTGAACTGGCAACCTTGTGATTACAGGCACACAGGCTTAGCCCACTGAGCCACACACTGCCCCCCAAGCTACCTCATCATACTTTATGTCAGGAAACCTCATTTCATGTATTTTTTCCCTCACAGAAACTACAAGTAACCAGGGTGTGTTCCAAAGCACAGTGGGAAGGCCCACCAGTGCACCCTCACCAAACACTGTGAGTGAGGGATTTGGCCACAGCCTGGAGGTTTCAACAGACCTGTTTACTTTAGATAAGCCACAAGGAGACCTCCCTGAATGACATCTGACAGACACACAGTGCTGGATGTACTTGTGGTGAATATTCCAAATGTTTAAGACAAGACGTAAAACAGATGCCTGACTTGAGGTAAAGCTGTGGCTTCGCAGCTAGCAAATCTATGCCATCAGATTGAGCTTTGCCCCTGACAGTAATTCACCTCGCCTGCCTGGCATTCCTTGGCAATGGTGGACCAATTGGATGCATCCAGAGCAAATACCATAGGTTGGCCATAAGCAAACCATGGCCTCTCTCAGTCCACAAAGCCAACAATACAGAACACAACATACAAATTACATTCCTTTCAGAATATTTTTTGGGATAATGAATTAATTCTTCATTTGTCAGAAAAAAGTGACCTTATGACAGTGCAGCCTGTATCACTGCAAAGAGGAAACAAAGCACATTAGACAGTACACACATTTTAGATATATGCTGCAAATAACATAAGTGCAGTCACTATGGGAGCTAAACCAACATACAGTTTATAGCTGTGCATGAATTGCACATAAATCCCAGTTCGTGCAGCTGGTGACTCTGAATGGCAGACTTTTTCAACTATCACAGATCTCTAGTTCCCTTTACCTTCCTGGTCACAGTTACAGGACACCCCTTCCTGCCCTACCAGGAAGTTGATGGATTTCATGAAAAGCTGGTCTAGAAGTGGATGAGTCCCAAGCTTGGGGGGCTGTAGGACATGTTGCAGAGCTCCAGCTCGGCCTTCAAGGTCCTGTGATCTGCTGGCCCAGCTGTACATGCTGAGCAGCAAGTGAAGGAAGATGAGTGCCAAGGTTAGCCTGAGCACACATTCAACCAACCTCATTCCAACATATAGCCTGTCTATCAGAACGGAACCCAGTCTTAAGTCGGGGACAGTCTGCATTTCAAAGTTTGGGATTTCAGTTTTATGTACTTACCACAATGCACCACCAGGGGGCTTCATTTCTCTACATTCCAGTTATTTTAGCTAATCAATGGGCAGCAGGGTGTTGCAGTTTTGAGTACTGTTGCCTCACACCTCTAGAACCAGGGCTGTAGTCTCTACCATGGCTGGCCTCGAGATTGTATGTTCTCAGCTGATGAGTTTCTCCTCAGTTACATCACATGGATTTCCTCTGGGTGCTCCAGTTTCCCCCCACAGTCCTAAAACATGCTGAGGCTAATTGGAGTTACCAAATTCCAATGGTGTTTGAGTGTGTCCTGTAATGTGTTTGTGTCCTTATTAACCACCTTGTCTGCATAGCTTCCAGGATGGGTATTAAGAAATTGCATCCTACCCATGAAAATCTCCAACCTGAGTTAACTGCACATGTTAAATGCATAATGGATCATTTGTTATTTTGTACATGCCTATAAATATATGCTGCCATTGAATGAAAATCTTTTAACACTACTGGAAGCAGATATTTATCGTCTGTTTTTATGTATAATAATGTACAGACATGTGAAACACTGTGGTAAGCACATATTTATGGTCTGTTTTGTAAAAAAAAAAATGCACTACCACCTTGCACACTATGGGAAGCACATACTGTATTGATGACTTGATTTATATAGGCCTATGCATAGTTCTCATAATTTATAATCTACTGTCCTTGAATATACTACAGGAAGTACATTATGGTGCAATTTTACCTGTAAGACTGTAGCACTTTATCTCAAAGCATGTGCTGGTAGGATATTCTCTCAAGACAGGACTAAATAACAGATATGGCTGTAAATTTATGATACCAGTAGCTACATAGTAGGAATAAATAGGTACTGTAGGAAAAAATTTCAGAACACCGGACCTCCCATGACCCTACATAGGGCAAACAGATGCATGGACAGGTAGTCACTAGGGGTGTAACAATACATCGATTTAGATCGATATATCGATTCAATGGCAAACGATCCGATGCACCGATGTGACCGCATAAATATTGATACATGCGTTTTTATTTTCTCGCCTGTTCCAGTAATATATTGTTTTCATGATTCACTGCGATGTATACTGTACATGGTCTACACCAGGGGTGCCCAATAGCTCGATCGCGATCTACTGGTTGATTGCAAAGGTAGTGTTGGTAGATCGTATGGCAAAAAAATAGAGGATGGACGACGCGTTCAACCGCGCCAGCTGCTGCAAGCTACCGAGTCGCCTAGTTAGCCTCCATTTATTTATACTAAACTTAAGAAAGGGTATAAAAATGAATGAGGCAGCTGGACCAAGTAAGAAGCCAAAAACCTACCACTTCCTTACGGAATGGGAGGAGGACTGTTTTTTTCCCACCATGTCAAATTCGAAGTGCATTTGCCTCATCTGTAAGTATACCATTGCTATTCCGAAGAAGGGAAATGTGGAGCGGCATTTTCGGACTGTTCATAAAAACTACGACATTAATTTCCCTCCAAAAAGCGAGCTGAGAAATAGAAAGGTGAAGGAACTAAAATCCCAGTTCAATTCAAAAATACTTTATTTTAGTTAAGGGAAATGATTATGCTGATTATTATTATTATTATTATTATTATTATTATTAATAATAATAATAATA